ATGAAGTGTTGCACGTGGGAAGTAAGTCTCGTTACTGATTCTTCATACTTTATCATCTTCCTTATTCTAACCATAGCGGTTTACGAGGAATTCCACCTAGAAATGCCATGCCTCCTGGGCACAATACGTGAACATACACTTTCTTTTTATCTGTAGGAACGATCTTGTTCTTGGCGATGACTTCCAGGACCCGTAACAGGAAACAGGTGACAAGCTTCTGAAATGGCCCTAAAGGCTCTCTGAAGTGTAACCCCTTTGCAGGGAGGTGACTGATGTAATTAAAGGAGAGTCACGGCGATGATCGCACCTGATTCAGGAGGGCGATAAGACACGAACGGTCATGCTTCTGGACCAACCTGCGGCCTGGACCGCGCACAGCCAGGAGGGGACACAGGTTGATGGCTCGCGAGGTGCTGCATTCACGTTAGTTGCCGGTTTGCTCCCAGGCGGCACTCCTGCTGGCTGGGCGGAACCACCGACAAGAAGCCTCCGGCCATGTCCAGTGGTTCATCGGGTCCACGTCCTGCCCGCTGTCTCCCTGCGCCCAGCAGAGACCGTGACCGGGCACATAGTACGTCTCAGGCAGGTGTTTGTTGAGACTGGAGGCGAGGGCTTTTTCCTGGCTGTGCAGCCTCTGGTATCCCGGCCGGAGGGGGCGAAATTGCTCGAGGTCAGGAGTTCGAAACCAGCCTGAGCAAGAGTGAGACCCCGTCTCTACTAAAAAAATAAAAAAAGAAATTAATTGGCCAACTAAAATATATAGAAAAAAATTAAGCCGGGCATGTGGCGCATGCCTGTAGTCCCAACTACTCGGGAGGCTGAGGCAGGAGGATGGCTTGAGCCCAGGAGTTTGAGGTTGCTGTGAGCTAGGCTGATGCCACAGCACTCTAGCTTGGGCAACAGAGTGAGACTGTGTCTCAAAAACAAACAACAACAATAAAAAAACAATGAATGAAACCTAGATTACAGGCTGGGCACAGTGGCTCATGCCTGTAATACTAGCACTTTGGGACCCCAAGGCTTGAGGCCAGGGCAATGGCAAGACCCCATCTCTACAAAAAAATAAAAAAATTAGCTAGGCGTGGTGGCTCCTGTAGTCCTGGCTACTCAGGAGGCTGAGGCAGGAGGATGGCTTGACCCTGGGAGTTTGAGGCTACAGTGAGCTATGATGTCACCCTGCACTCTACCTGGGCAACAGAGTGAGACCCTATCTCAAAACAAACAAAAACCTAGATCATATTTTTCTTTTACCAATGCCGCTATGAAGGGTCCCAAGACTGTCATCATGTGGCTCCAAGATGCAACAGGAGAGGCCAGCATCTAGACATTCTTGAGGAAAGCAACCGGGCAACACATGCCAAGGACCACGAACATGCTGTCACTCAGAACTGAGCAAAGGTCATCCAGACACCCAACTTCCAACGGTTCTATCTCTAGGAGATGGATGAGCAGGGGACTTCCCTGCCTGATCAATACTGGTGATTGATTTCTACTCATGAAACACACGACAAAAATATACCAAAATAATTCCTGAAAATATTTGTTTCCTTTATCTTAAAATTTTCACTTACAGAAATCTAAGAAAACACCAACAAAGTATAATGCAATAAGATGCTCAATGAAGAATTATTTACGACAGTGAAAAACATGGAAATAACTTTACTATCTAACAAAAGAGATCCTAATGGGCCAGACAGAACGCGATGCCTCCATTTAGAATTATAACTCCAACGATGGTTCAGTTACTGGGAAAAAAAATTCTGCTATGCAGCTAAGAGGGAAAAAAGATTAAAAAAAATGATAAACTATGTTTAATGTAAAACTCTTAATATGAACAAAGCAGAAGGTAATGCTTTATCAAAGTGCAAAATGCAGTTTTATTAAGAATTATGGGCATCTTATTTTTCTTAAATCTACATTTTCTGAAGTGTGATTGTTTTGTCTTCATGTTTTAAAAAGCATACCCAAAGCATTTCATCAGCTACAGCACTCTATACAGATGTATTACCACTGCGAGGGCAGCTTATTCTTGCTTCAGACTGAGTAGAAGAGACACTCTAGATTAAGTCTGTCTTCCTATCCCTGGAGAGCGTGGCCATGGGGAGGGTCACCTCTCCTGGGGTTTGTATAAGGGTCCCATTTGGGCTGACCACAGAGCCCACCCGACTGTGCTGTTAGTAACAGACGGCTCTGCAGTAGAGCTATTTACACAAGGTACGTCCAGGAAATTCACTTTTTTCCAAATGCCCACCATCCAAGATTATGCTGCCCTCCAGAAACATGACAGTGTTCACTGGGAAGTAATGCTGTTACTGATTCTTCTACTTTATCATTCTTATTCTGAACATAGCAGTTTACAGAGGAAATTCCAACTAGAAACCATGCCCGTCTGAGGACACAATAGTTGACATACACCTTCTTTTTATCTGTAGGAACGATCTGTTTCCTTGGCGATGACTTCCAGACCCAACAAGGAAAACAGGTGACAGGGCTTCCTGAAATGGCCCTAAGGCTCTCCCTGAAGTGTACCCCTTGCAGGGAGGTGACTGACTGTAATTAAAGGAGATGTCACGGCATGTCCACCTGACCAGGCGATAAGACAAGGGTCATGCTTCTGGACCAACCTGCGGCCTGGACCCGCACAGCCAGGAGGGGACACAGGTTGGATGGCTCCGAAGGTGGCTGCATCACGTTAGTTGCCAGGTTTGCTCCCCAGGGGGAAACTCCTGCTGGCTGGGGGCGGAACCACACACAAGAGCTTGGCCATGTCCAGTGGGTTCATCGGGTCCACGTCCCTGCCCCCTGTCTCCCCTGCGCCCAGCAGACTGCCGGGCACATAGTACGTGCTCAGCAGGTGTTTGTTGAACTGGAGGGCGAAGGGCTTTTCCTGGCTGTGCAGCCTCTGGTGCTCCAGGAGGTGGGAGCTCCAGCTGAACGTCTCCCCGCACTCCCTGCACTTGAGCGCTCTCTCTCCGGAGTGGATCTTCTGGTGTTTGATGAGACAGTGGTTCTGGCTGAAGGCCTTGCCGCACTCGCGGCACTTGTAGGGCTTCTCGCCCGTGTGGATGCGCTGGTGCACGATGAGGGACGAGTGGCAGCTGAAGGCCTTCCAGCACCTGCTGCAGTCGAAAGGCTTCTCGCCGGTGTGGATGCGCTGGTGCACGATGAGGTAGGAGTGCGAGCTGAAGGCCTTGCCGCACTCGTTGCACTTGAAGGGCTTCTCGCCGCTGTGGATGCGCCGGTGCACGATGAGGTAGGCGTGGCAGCTGAAGGCCTTGCCGCAGTCGGCGCACCGGAAGGGCTTCTCGCCCGTGTGCGTCCTCTGGTGCAGCGTGAGGCGCGAGCGGCTGTTGAAGGCCTTCGCGCACTCGCCACACTTGAACGGCTTGTCCCCGTTGTGGATCTTCTCATGCACGGTGAGGGACGAGTGGCAGGTGAAGGCCTTGCCGCAGGCGCCGCACTTGTAGGGCTTCTCGCCCGTGTGGATGCGGTGGTGGCGCGTGAGGTGCGTGCGCTGGTTGAAGGCCTTGCCGCACTCGCCGCACTTGTAGGGCTTCTCGCCCGTGTGCACGCGCAGGTGCATGTTGAGCAGCGAGCTGCAGCTGAAGGCCTTGTCGCAGGCGCCGCACTTGTAGGGCCGCTCGCCCGTGTGGATGCGCTGGTGCACGTTGAGGGACGAGTGGCAGCTGAAGGCCTTACCACACTCGCCACAGAAGAAGGGCTTCTCGCCCGTGTGGCTGCGCCGGTGCTCCAGCAGGTTGGTGCTCCAGGTGAAGGCCTTGCCGCACTCGCTGCACTGGTAGGCCTTCTCCCGGCCGTGCCAGCGCTGGTGCAGCGTGAGCGACGAGCTCTGGCGGAAGGCCTTCCCGCACTCGCTGCAAGCGAACGGGCCAGCTCTGGCGCCTGCTGCCCGCTTGGGTGCGTGGGGGGACTTACCCGGCTCCCTGGACTCCAGAGGGTTTTCCCTGGTCCATGTCCTGGCCGGGCCTTCGGTTCCGTCCCCAGGGGACTGCACGTCCTTGCTGTGTCTGTCAGGACAGTGGCCTCCTGGGGGCATGCTCTGCTGGGCAGACAGGGCACACCTAAGCAGGAGATTCTCCTCGGACTCCCCGTGGCCTGACTCCGCAGAGACGGCCCTGGGGGTGGCGGATGCTGCCTGCCAGCGCTCAGTGGGGCCGGGCTGCAGAGCACCCGCCTGGCTCTCCCAGGCCCACGGAGCGTCTCCCAGGCCGGCTCCCAGGCCGGCTCCGTGAAGGCCCAGCCTGGGCGCTCGCCCCACAGCTGGCTCCAGGGACAGTTCTTTACAAACATCCGGCTGTTGGGAGGACTCCTCCGTCTCAGGCCCATGCGCCCATTCTGTAAGAAATGGGAAATGGAGTTTTCTGAGTAGGTGGAAACATGGCCCTGCAATTTGGTTTTGGGGGATTTTTTTTGAGATACGGTCTCACTGTGTCACCCAGGATGGAGTGTACTGGCTCTATCATAGCTCACCACAGCCGCAAGCTCCTGGGTTCAAGCTGTCCTCACGCCTCAGTCTCCAGAGTAGCTGGGATCACAGGCATGCACCACCATGCCTGGCTAATTTTTTCTATATACTTTTAGTTGGCTGATTAATTTCTTTCTATTTCTTGTTCAGGCTGGTTTCAAACTCCTGGCCTTGAGCAGTCCTCCTGCCTCAGCTTCCCAGAATGCTAGGATTACAGGCATGAGCCACTGCGCCTCAGGCTAACTCTTTTAATTTTTGTAGAGATAGGGTCTCACTATGTTGCCAAGCTCATCTTGAACTCCTGGCCTCAAGCAATCCTCCCACCTTGGCTTCCCAAAGTGCTGGGATTACAGGCATGAGCCATAGGACTTGGCTGGGGATTCAGATGAGAGCGGACCTAGGGACCCAGATAAGCCCAGAAAAGAGAGCAGCAGCCAACGGAGACAAAGAGCTCAGAGACATGAAGGCAGAGAGACAAAGGACAGTGCCCAGGATGAGATGGGTAAGCGACGCAAGAAGGGAGGGAGAGGAACAAATGGGAAGGAGCCACCAGATAGCGCAAAGACTAGAGAGGCAGAAGAGCCCAGGGGATCCAAAAAGAGCAGCTTCAAGCAAGTGCCCAGGATGGGGCTGAGAAAGGGGCAAGCTCAGGGTCTGGAGACCAGGATTTCATTCATTCGTGGGAACACTGATGGACTGCTGCCTGTCAAAGCCATGTTGGGTGCTGGGGGTAAACACAGGGTAAATGCAAGTCTAAAAAAATAAATCATGCACCAGCATCCTCTTCAGAACACTGGGAATTGCAAATGCTTTCTCTGTCTCACAGGCCTCAGGTCTTTTCAGGAGCTCAATAAGCTTTGTGCCAGCTCTGCATCCTGATGTCCTCCTCGGAGTCCCTGTGAAATGGGGACACAGAGCAGGAGGGTGCATTCTGCCTGCCTCTGTGGGAGTCCAGTCCAAGATGTACCTCTACCCGGTGCACCAGGCTGAAGCTGCCTGGTTCTGTAAAAGGGGTTGGTTTCTTTCTGTGCCCTGCATGGCATCTGGTTAAATACTTATTCAAAAAGATTTTCTGGGCTAGCAGGAGATCTTACTTCTAACTCTATCTTCCCTAACAGCTTTGAGGACTGCAGACTAGTGTAATAGAGAGAGGTGCATGGTAGCACTGCGTGGGGCCCCAAGCTGTCTGAAGTGGCTGGGCAGGGGGAACTGGCCCTGACAGGACAGACAGCAGGCAACCAGGCGGAGGTGGAACAGCGTGTGCAGAAGCTCAGAGGTGAGAGTAAGATGAGGATGAGATGTGCAGAGGAGAAGGCTAAGAGGTGGCCCTGGCAAGGTGGACGGGTGCTGGGACATGAGGCACCTGACCCAGAGGGTGGTGTGATAACAATGCATCTTTTTTTTTTTTTTTTTGAGACAGAGTCTCACTTTGTTGCCCAGGCTAGAGTGAGTGCCGTGGCGTCAGTCTAGCTCACAGCAACCTCAAACTCCTGGAGGATCGCTCAAGCGATCCTCCTGCCTCAGCCTCCCGAGTAGCTGGGACTACAGGCATGTGCCACCATACCCGGCTAATTTTTTCTATATATATATTTAGTTGTCCAGCTAATTTATTTCTATTTTTTAGTAGAGATGGGGTCTCACTCTTGCTCAGGCTGGTCTTCAACTCTTGACCTTGAACAATCCTCCTGTCTTGGCCTTCCAGAGTGCTAGGATTACAGGCGTAAGCCACCACGCCCAGCCCATGTGTGCTTTTAAGATGTGTACATTTGGCCTGCATATCTTGTGGTCTTCAAATTAATAACCACAGCATCCACCAGACTTCTGGAAATGGAGGTGCAACTTCCACTGGCCCCATGTCTCCAGCCTGATTCCCATGCCTGGCTTGCTCCAGATGTTCATGGCATGGAAAATAGCCCACCCTGAGTCAAACCCTGACTCCTACCCTAGCCTAACCTTTAGCTCCCAAACTCTCACCTAATTCCTAATGACCCTACCCTCCACCCCCACCCACAGGCAAACCCAAATCAAACCCTGACCCTGACTCTCCTCTAGTCTAACCTTGGCCTGACCCTGATTCTAACTAGCACAGACGCTCTGACCTCTTAAGTAGGCAAGAAGCATCTGGTGCTAGGAAGGCCATTCTGCCCTCTGCTGCATGGGGAACCTGGCGACACAAGGCGAGCCCCTCTGCTGCAGCGTTACCGCAGCCTGTTCCCAGGCCCGCCCTCCTGCTGGTGCTGGTCAGGGCTTTCCTCGAGACAAGAAAACTCAGGCCAGGCGCAGTGGCTCACGCCTGTAATCCCAGCACCCTGGGAGGCCGAGGTGGGCGGATTGCTCAAGGTCAGGAGTTTGAAACCAGCCTGAGCAAGATCGAGACCCCGTCTCTACTATAGATAGAAAGAAATTAATTGGCCAACTAACATATATAGAAAAAATTAGCCGGGCATGGTGGCGCATGCCTGTAGTCCCAGCTACTCGGGAGGCTGAGGCAGCAGGATTCCTTGAACCCAGGAGTTTGAGGTTGCTGTGAGCTAGGGTGACGCCACAGCACTCACTCTAGCCTGGGCAACAAAGCAAGACTTTGTCTCAAAAAAATAAAAATAAAGTCATGCCACTCTGCAGTACTGCCATAGAGAGAATTAAGGACCCCCATATTTCATATTTCAAAGTAGAAATTGCTTATTATACAGATTACAAAGTAAATAAATGTTTGCCATTTTAAGGATTCAGAAATTGAGAAGCCAGTTCTGACTGATCATCTAGATGCAAGGGCATCTGGCACACCTCCTTGTAGACACCCCCTGTCTCAGAGGGTCTTATGCAGATTCCTGCCCAGCCTCTATGGCATGTTCTGGGGGAGGGGAGGGGCCCCCACCTTGTGTGCTCTCGTTTTATTTTGGGAATAAGCAGAACAATCGTAACAGCGGAGCTGATCCAGTGGGGAGCAGTTGGCTTTGGTTTCAAAGCCTACTCCTGCTGGGAGTAGGAGGATGCCCGCAGCCACAGGGGATTTATTTTCAGGCAAAACCAAAGGGAAATCTCAGGCTCACTTTTGAATTTGTTTATTTATTTATTTATTTTTTGAGACAGAGTCTCACTTTGTTGCCCAGGCTACGGTGAGTGCCATGGCGTCAACCTAGCTCACAGCAACCTCAAACTCCTGGGCTCAAGCGATCCTCCTGCCTCAGCCTCCCTAGTAGCTGGGACTACAGGCATGCGCCACCATGCCCGGCTAATTTTTTCTATATATATTAGTTGGCCAATTAATTTCTTTCTATTTATAGTAGAGATGGGGTCTCGCTCTTGCTCAGGCTGGTTTTGAACTCCTGACTTCGAGCAATCTGCCCACCTCCGCCTCCCAGAGTGCTAGGATTACAGGCGTGAACCACCGCGCCCGGCCAACAATGCATCTTAAAAATGGCTCTGGTGGCTTATAAGGAGGGTGGAACAAGCTGGTCGCCAGGAGACTGGTTAAGGAGACCCTCTAAAAAATCCAGGTGAGAAATGGCAACCTCTGCAGAGGCTGTGAGAATGACATGGAGTGGCAGATTCAAGAAATATTTAGGAGCTGACGTTGACTGTGCTCCTTGCCGCTGACCGAAGACGGCAGGAGGAGGACAGAGGAGAGGGTGAGCAGGCCAAGCCTGGGTGGATGGTGGAAGCTTTTAGAAAAGCAGGGATGGGAAGAGGAAAGGCCAGTTCTGAGTCTGGTTTCAGGCACGTGAGCAGAGGCCCCCACAATGGCTAGTGACACAGGGCTGCAGCGACGCCAATGCTGGGCAGGTGGTCGAGAGTCCATTAAGGCACACCGGGCAGGGAGAGAAGGGCTGAGGGCGGAAAAAAGTCGTTTTGGCAGCAGGAGGGGCTGGTGCCGCAACAGGGCATCCACGTCACTCTAGACACTGTGCGGTCAGCGAAGGGCGCGTGCTGGTGCTCACCATGGCACGGTGAGTGCAGAGAGCGAGAGTCCAAAGCCTGTGCTGCAATTCCAGGGGCGTGTGTGGTTTTTAAAAAATATCTGTCCATACACAGGGGAGCAGCTGTGAGGAAATACAGAGAAATGAAATGGGTTATCGCTGTGCAGAAAGATTATGGGAGATTTCAAGATTTCTCTGTATTATCCTATTTTCAGTATAAACATATAGTAACCAAACAAAAACATTAATTTTTTAAAAGCTCTGTTCTCTTTTGGCAAAGAGAACAGAGACAGCAGCAGAGGCTGGGGTGAGAAAGAAAGTGCAGGAAGCTGGGGCTACAGGTGCCATGCAGGGGGTGACTGGGGTGGTGGGGGGGCTAGGACTGCGGAGGGGCCGCCTCGTCTCAACCCTAGCCACCCTGGCCCCGCACACGGACAGTCCTGTGGCTCTGTGTCTAACTGCACCGTGGTAGCCTTTCCCACAAAGAGGTATGTGTTCCACGCTTCCCAGATGCCCAACATGCTCAGCAGTCACTGTCCACTAAGTTAAGCTGAAATTATATAATTCATTTATTCATTAACTGACTCAGAAAGAAGTCTATGGAAAAAAAGTCAAAGAAAAAAACAGACCACCTTTTGCCTAGGACCTGTTCCTGGCCTCTTTCACTTGGGAAGGCTGGCACCTTGGCTGTGGCCCAGTGGACGTAGCTGACCCTGACCCTAACCCTGACCCTGGCCTGACCAGTGCCACCTCCCAGTGTCTCCTTACTGCTCCTGTCCCTTCTTCTCAGTGAGCAGAGCCTCAACCCCAACCCCACACACACTTCCCATCCCCTGGCAAATGCCATTTGTTAAATATCTCCATCCACATGGTGCTACTCCTATGCCCCCCGCCCACCACCAGCAGACAGGCATCTTGACGGGCTCTGTTCACTGCTGTCTTCCCCGTACAGGTCCTGCACATAGTCGGTGCTCAATACATGCTGGAGGGAGGAAGGCGGAAGTGTCTAGCAGGGGCCCTGGGAAGGCAGAGGGAGCAAGGGCAGTGGGAACATGGAAGGAAAACCAGGGCCACGTGAGGAGGTGAGGAGGAGGCACCGCAGGCAGGGCCAGTACCCATCCACCTGTGTCGCCCGCTTACCTGGACGAGACCCTCCAGGGACTTCTCTCTGCACCTGCCACGGCTCCTCGCCTCGTTCCAGATGGGAGATCACATCTGGCTTGTAGACCAGAGGCCCTGCTCATGGGAGAAAGCAGTGGGCCTGGGTGCCAAGGCGCTCCAGGGCCAGCCAGCCTATGGGACGCCTCATTAACAACAGAGGGCATGTGAAGTGTACACCATCGCCTGGCAACAGGAAGCCCCCTGGGCCCTAGAGTGGTGAAGGGCCTCAGACATGGAACCCAAATAAATGCTATGAAGATGCCACACATGCTGACACCCTCCCTTCACTGCATGAGGACAGCTGCAGGGCAGGCCGGGCTCTAGTCCTCCCTCCCTTCCCTGCCCCCTGCTCTGAGACCAGGGGAGATTCCCAGTGAGGATGCCACCAGCTACCATGCTGCCCACTGGGGACTTCTGGCATGGCAGAGGCCCCTGGCCACAAGTGCCTGGAGGCAAAGGCCATGTTTCCCACATCGTGACACCAGGGCTGATACTAAAGGGACCCCTGGTAATATCTACCATGTGGGAGAAGCTGAGAGCAGAAGCCCAGCCTCCAGGGAGCCCCTTACCGAGGGCAAGGAGGTTCTGGTAGTTCTCCAACATCACATCCCGGTACAGGGCCCTCTGTGGGGAGTCCAGCTGACCCCACTCCTCCTGGGTGAAATCCACAGCCACATCCTTGAAAGTCACGGATTCCTGAAATGACATGAACATTCTCACTCACCCAGGACAGGAATGATGCTGTTTCCATGGTTCCCAGGGAGCTACAGATTGATTAAGGACCTTATGAGTAAAGGGAAACCCTCAGTTGACCTTCTCCCAAGCACAGAAGGTTGTGCTGTAGGCGTTGACCAGGGCTGAGCTGGGGACCAGGGGCAGGGAGCGGGGCTGGGAATCAGCACACATGCCCCCGGCCAGCTTTCCGGACTGGAAGAGTCTGAAAGGACACTGGTGGGCCCTGGCAACTCAAGGTGGGGCTCGTGGCTGCTGCACTATACATCACATCCTAGGTGAGATGCTATGCTTTCCTGGGTCAAGAATTTTCAACTTAAAAAACTTGAAAGAGAGGCCGGGCGTGGTGGCTCAAGCCTGTAATCCTAGCACTCTGGGAGGCCGAGGCGGGCGGATTGCTCGAGGTCAGGAGTTCGAAACCAGCCTGAGCAAGAGCAAGACCCCGTCTCTACTATAAATAGAAAGAAATTAATTGGCCAACTAATATATATATATATATAAAAAATTAGCCGGGCATGGTGGCGCATGCCTGTAGTCCCAGCTACTCGGGAGGCTGAGGCAGAAGGATTGCTTGAGCCCAGGAGTTTGAGGTTGCTGTGAGCTAGGCTGACGCCATGGCACTCACTCTAGCCTGGGCAACAAAGAGAGACTCTGTCTCAAAAAAAAAAAAGAAAAAAAAAACTTGAAAGAGGCTCGGCGTGGTGGCTCATGTCTGTAATCCTAGCACTCTGGGAGGCCAAGGCAGGTGGATCATTTGAGCTCAGGAGTTCGAGACTAGCCTGAGCAGGAGCGAGACCCCGTCTCTACTAAAAAAATAGAAAGAAATTAGCTGGACACACACACACAAATATATATATATATATATATGTATATATATATAAAATTAGCTGGGCATGGTGGCACATGCCTGTAGTAGACCAAGCTACTTGGGAGGCTGAGGCAGGAGGATTGCTTGAGCCCAGGAGTTTGAAGTTGCTGTGAGCTAGGCTGACGCCACGGCAACAGAGTGAGACTCTGTCTCAAAAACAAAAAAACTTGAAAGAATACTACAAAATACTCAGCGACTCTAATCAAAACTCACTATTGGAAAGGATCTAACTCAATTAGAAACCATCATCGTATTCTATGGAAGGAAACCTTGCATGTGTCAGCAAGCTCTGTGCCCCGAGGGGCCAAGAGCCCACTTGGAGTCCTCATCTGGTTGTCTTCTGCTCCTTCTTGCCTCATACCTCCCTGTTCCACGAGGCCTGCTCTCCCCGCTGCCACCCCACCCCAGACTTGCTTGTCTCAAAAAAAAACCCAAAAAAACCCCAGTATACTAGAATAGTATTTGTTTACCTCAAAACAAGGCATTAAGGGAAGAACAGAGAAACAAAAAAGACACAAGACATAGAAAACAAATAGCAAAAAGTGAGATGTAAATCCAACCATAGTTGGATTAAATGCGAATGGTCTAAATGCTCTAATTAAAAGGAGGAGACTGTCAACCGGAATAAAAAAGCAAGACCCAACTATATGCCAGCTACAGAAACCCACTTTAAATACAAAGATAACTATAGGTTAAAAGTAAAAGGATTGAAAAAGATATACCCTGCAAACACTAATCAAAAGAAAGCTGAATTGGCTGTATTAACAAAGTTAATTTCGGAGTGGCCGGGCATGGTGACTCACACCTGTAATCCTAGCACTCTGGGAGGCCAAGGCTGGCAGATTGCTCAAGGTCAGGAGTTCTAGACCACCCTGAGCAAGAGCAAGACCCTGACTCTATAAATAGAAAGAAATTAATTGGCTAAGTAAAAGAAAAAAAATATATATATAAATTAGCCGGGCATGGTGGTGTATGCCTGTAGTCCCAGCTACTCGGGAGGCTGAGGCAGGAGGATTGCTTGAACCCAGGAGTTTGAGGTTGCTGTGAGCTAAGCTGACACCACAGCACTCTAGCCTGGGCAACAGAAGTGAGACTGTAGCAAAAAAAAAAAAAAAAAAAGTTAATTTCAGAGAAATATTCATATCATCAGACATAAAGAGAGACATTACATAATGATAAAAGGGTTGATTTTTTTTAATAACAGTATTATTTTTATTATAACAGTTATTTTTTTAATAACAGTATTATTCAACTTGACTTAACTGATATTTATAGAACATTCTAGCTAACAAAAGCAGAATATATATTCAAGTGCACACAAAACATTTACCAAAATAAGCCACACTCTGGGAAATAAAATAAGTCTTAGTAAATTAGAAAGAATTTAAATTATTCAAAGTTCATTCTCTGACTACCACAGAATTAAATTAGAAATCAGTAATAGGAAGCTATCTGGAAAATACCCTAAATATTTGGAAATTAAATAACACACTCCAAAATAACACATGACTGAGAAAAAAAAGTCAAGAGAAAAATTAGAAACTATTTCAAACTGAATAAAAAAGAAAATAGAACATAACAAAAGTTGTAGGGTGGAGATAAGGCAGTGCTTAGATTAAATTTACAGCATTCCAGCTACTCAGATGTTGAGGCAAGAGGATCACTTGAGCGCAGGAATTTGAGGTTGCAGGGAAATATGTATGCACCACTTTACTCTGGGCGTCAGACAGCAAGACTTTGTCTCTAAATTTACAGCATTGAATGCTAATATAAGAAAAGGAAAAAAGTGTCAAATCAGTATCTAATTTTCAATCTTAAGAAACCAAAGTAAAGGAAGGAGATAATAAGAACCTGAAATCTATGAAATAGAAAACAGAAAACTAATAAAACCAAAAAATGGTTCTTTTTTTCTTTCCTTTTTTTTTTTTTTATGACAAGGTCTTGCTCTGTTGACCAGGCTGGAGTACAGTGGTGTCATCATAGCTCACTGTAACCTCAAACTCCTGGACCCAAGTGATTCTCCCAGAGTGCTAGGATTACAGGCGTGAAGCACCGTGCCTGGCCCCAAAAGGTGGTTCTTTGAAAAGATAAATAAAATTGACAATTAAACATATATTTAGTATATGACTCAGCTATTTCACACCTAGCTATTTATTCAAAAGAAATGAAAACACATGGCAATATTGCACTTAAACATCTATAGCAGATTAATTGGTAACAGCCAAAACCTGCTAACAACCTAAATGTCCATCAGCTGGCAAATAGATGAACAAATTGTATCATATCCGTCCCATGGTGTTATAGGCTGAATTGTGTGCCCTTCCCCCAGCTCCCATGTTGAAGTCCCAACACCCAGTACCTCAAAATGTCAATGTATTCGGAGAGGTAATTAAGTTAAAATAAATTCATTGTAGTGGGCCCTAATCCAGTATAACTAGTGTCCTCATAAGGAGAGGGTATTTGAACAGATGCATGGATGGAGGTAAGACCATGTGAAGATGCAGAGAGAAAGAAGGTGGCCGTCTTCCAGCCAAGCGGAGAGGCCTCAGAAGAAATCAACCCTGTCGAAACCTTGATTTCAGACCTCTAGCCTTTAGAACTGAGAGAAAATAAATTTCTGGTGGTTAAGCCCCCTAGTTTGTGGTACTTTGTCACAGCAACCACAGCAGACTAATACAAATGGAGTATTACTCAGCAATGTAAAGGAACACACTACTGATTCACACAGCTGCATGGATGAACTCAAAAGCATGAGCTAAGTGATGTAAGTCAGAGACAAAAGACTACATAGCATATAATTCCATACAGAATTCTTTAAAAGGCAAAACTATAGCGGTTGCCAAGAGGCGAGGGGAGAGGACTGAATGCAAAGTGGCACGAGGAAATTTTTGGATGATGGAAATGTTCCATACCACCATTATGGTGCTGGTGACACAACTGTGTACATTTGCCAAAATTCATCAAATCATAAACTTAAAATCGGAGAACTGTGCTGCATATATAAGTTACACCTCAATAAACCTGACTCCAAAAAGCACTGGATTTTAGGGAGATGAGAAGGTGATGGTGAGGACAGATGCTGAGAACACACCCCTAACTGAAGCACACAGGCATGGAAGAGGATGGTGGCTGCACTGGTGGAGGGAAGGAGAAAATGGGCTGAAATAAAGCTCCGGAGGCATTGGAATGCGGTGCTGACTGTGGGGCAGACAGTGGGGGCTACATGGCATCAGTGTGGGGGCATCAACCAGCTAAGAGTAGGGTAGGGTCTCAGCCCAGCACAGGCCCTCTGAGGGTGTCTCCCACCAGCTGGGAGAAGCCCGTGTCCAATGTGTTTTCATTCTGCAGGAAAGGGAACAAAATGCCCAGGTCATGTGAGTGGGACTCAATGCTCATGTGGTAATGAGCCAGCAGAGAAGTCAGAACTGACTCTGTGAGATGTTCCAGGAGACCAGTAAACCGAGACCATGAGTGTGCAGGAGACTGTTTGGAGAGTCAAACGTGAGGAGTACTCAGGAGAGAGGATAGGTTACACAAACATCTGAAACACTAGTATTTTAGGAATAATACATACGCACAAGAAGGGCACTATCACCTTGAGGTAGCTGCACACACTCACATGCACACACATTTTTGGTTGAACCATGTGAAGGTGAGTTGCAGCTGACATCTCCCCTATGTTCTTCAGCTTGTATCTCCCATGGGTATTCTCTCACATCATCACAGTACCATCTTCACACCAAAGAAATTCACTATTGATACAATATTCTGTAACATAACAACCCATTGTCAAATTTTCTCATTGTCCCAAACTGCTTTTTATCAATCTTTTTTTGGATCTCTGCTCCAATCAAGGATCATGCATTGAATTTGACTGTCATATCTCGAGTGTTTCCTAGGACCAGGCTGCATTCTAACACACTGTGGAAGCCAGGCACATCTCATGAGACATGTCTTAGAGCTTTTTCTGTCTGTCAGCCACCCTCACCTCTTTCGAATGAGAGAGTGACAAAACCACAAATCCTAAAAAAATAAAAATCAAAGGACCCTCAACCCTCCAGACCTTTTTCTACACTGCACTCTCCTTGTCAACTGCACCCTTCCAAATACCACCATGGCATGCAGTAGTTTAGGAGGCAAAACAAAATAAGGAGCAAAGTCCAAAGTCTATAAAAGGTGGCATCTGGTTTCCACTTAGCGCAGAAGTGGCCCCTGTGCCAATTCCCTGTTGAGTTCCCAGATTCTCTAAACCTCCAGGTCTATCCGGGGAGGCCCCACGTCAGGGACCGTGTCCCCTATTGTCGTCATCTCACCCCAGTGCTGCAGTGCCGTCCTTCCTCAGCTGTTCCGCATGCCTTACCTGATTCCATTCCAGCAAACTCCCCCAAACAAGGACCAGCCACTTGCAAACATCCCCGGGGTCTGCATCAACCCCCTGCCACCATGTGGAGATAAGCAAAGTGACCTCACGTGAGATGTCACCTACTTGCTCAGGTTCCACTAAAAACACTTCTCAGAGCTCCCAGAGCAGTGCTGGGCATACAGCTTCTGGCCACTGACCCATTGAATCTGGCTGGAAGGGACATTCAAGAAGATTCCTTTCCAGTGCGCACACCTGGGACAATATCCAGACTCTTCAACTGGAGCTATTCCTGCTGCCTGGACCGCAGGGCAGGTCCCCAGGTGAAGGTCTGAGGATGACTGCAGATCCAGGGCCGGGGAAGGAAGGTCCCAACCCTCTTCATAAAGAAGGGAGAAAAGACAGCCACTCACCTCACACCTGGCTTCCAGAAGTCCCCAACCCAATATATCCCCTGGATTCTCTTTGAGAGAAACAGCAGGATCCTGACAGGAAAGAACTGGGGAAAGAGAAATGAGTCAAGGGGGCTGCTCTGCCCACAGCCACCTGGCTCAAGGCTCAGCTAAAGCCCACCCCCTCGGGCAAAGGTGGGAATCAGACGCGGGGACTGTCCAGGCAGGTGGTGGGTACGAGCCCCAACAGCCAGCACACACTAATACAGCATCAGGGCTTGATTCTTTCTGCCTGGGTTTCAGACACTTCAACTAATGAGGAAGAACACAGCCATTCCCTTCCTCCCCCCAAACCTGTTTGAGTGGGAACAAGTGGTTGCTCAGTGAAGAAGCAGGCCTGATAAGCTGGCTGGGTGAGGGCACCAGCCTGACCTCTCTGAGTGTCAGCATCCTCAAGTGCAAATCCACACAGACTCACTGACAAAAAGAGCGCAGTTGTACCTGTCTCCTCTGGCTTCTGGGCCGAAGTCTCCATGGCCCCCTCGCCAGCGTCCCCGGAGGAGTGTGCAGCTCCGTGGCCTCCTGGTCCCCAGGCCCAGGGAAGCAAGTCCTACCTCTGGGGCTCAGACAGCGGCCTGCAGGGGAGCCTCGCGGGGTCGCCGCGCGCTCACAGCCGCAGGACCTCACGCACGGGGCCCCTCCCCGCCCCCCGGCGGCGGCCGCGCTCAGGCGGGCTCCGCGGACACCCCGCCCCCCACACCGGGCTCGTCCCCGTCGCGCCCGTCGCCTGACACACCCGCGCCCCACACCGGGCGCGTCCCCGTCTCCATCACACGCGCCCGCACACCGGGCCAGTCACACACGCCCCCGGAGAACCCGCGCTCGGGGACCGGGGCCAGGCCGCCAGCGAGAAGGGAGCTCGGCTGGCAGATAGGTCCCTGAGCAGACGGAGGAAACGACCGACGGTCGGGCGGACCCGCGAGTGACCGGACCGGCCTCCCACAAAAGGACAGCTAGCTCCACAAAGAGCAGCCCGGCGGCCGCCACGGGAAAGTGCGCATGCACGGAACGGATTCGAACTACACCTCCCGGCCGCCTTTGCGCCGCGCATGCGTAAAACTCCCCCCCCCAGGCTCCAAATCTCGGACCTCCCTGGCAACCCGACCCAGAAAGAGCTTGTAGCAAGCACAGTTTCGGGAAACTTAGTTCTGGCCACTACCCTCCTTGCTGCGGAAGGCTCTCTGTATCTCGATGTGGGCCCAGTGCGGGGCCACTGCTTGGGTGTCTGATTGCTGGCGTAGCGGGAGAGAGATGCCCAGGAGCCAGGAATTGTGTGTCCGTTCATCCACGTCTCCAGGTGCAGTCAGGTACCCTTCGCTGCACACCTGTGTGCAGGAAAGGCTGAGGCCCTAGGGATACAGGCGGTGGTGGGCTTGCCCTCGAGGGGCTTCCTGGGGGTCCTGCCCCCGCTGTTCCTTCTGGGAGCCGGGCTCCAGATTTGGGAGAGCCCTAGCCCTGCTCCCAGGTAGGCCAGGTGCCCCTCACTGCAGTCCACCCTCCGGCGCTGGGGATGGAGAGTCTGGGTGGCGGCCCAGTCTTCGCCCAGTCCTCTGACATTAACGCAGTGATAATGCCAACAGCAGCAACAGCAAGTAGGTACTGAACACTGAACACACGCCAGGCATGCTTCTAAGAGCTGGACATGTATTTTCTGGCAGAATTCACAGCAGCCCAGTGAGGTTTGCTAACTATTATTACCCCCATTTTAGAGATGAAGAATCTGTAGTACAGGTAAGCAGGGTAACTTGTCCCAAGTCACACAGCCAGGAGGAGGTTGAGTAACTCCAGAACTGAGGTTCATTACCAGAATTCCTACTGAGAGTTGGTCAGGGGTAGAGTAGGGTTTTCTATGTGTTGACATATAGCTGTGTTGGAGACTAAGACCCTCCACATTCCAACGACTTGTCCTACGAGCCTAAGACGAAAATAGCACCCAGCCCTCCAGCTATAGTTTGTTCCCGACCCCCTGCCAGGTTGGCTTTGAGTGATCCAGCACAAACAGCTTCCGGTGCCATTGGGATGCTGATTGGGGCTGATTAGCCCACACCCAAGCCTCATCATCCCCCCACTCTATTTTTCTGTTTCTACTTCCTTGTTTCTATATATAAAACCTACTAAAAATCCAAGTAAAGTAGACCTTGACAACCCTTTGCTTGGTCTCGTTCCTTTCTCTCGCCCATCTCTTTCAGGGCCCATCTCTTTCAGGCACGGTCCCCCTCGCCCCTCGCGAGTAACAAAAGGTCCCTCGGGCCGGGACATAGCTGTTGACTTACAGGTCTGGTCTGAGTCTTTATATGTGCTCATGTGTATGCGTGTGTCTCACTGTGGTCACACAGGTCTGAATGAATGACTAGGTGTACATTTATGCATGTGCTCCTCTGTATGTTCATCTTTTTTGAAATTTTTTATTCTTTAATTTTTTAATAAATACACTAACAATCCTTGCTTCAAATGTATGTTCATCTTTATGTGACTGTTTTTGGATGGTTCATAGTATCATCTATGTCTCACTGCCTGAATATGTTTGTATGACAGACATATGCATTATACAGGTAAATATGTAATGGATATTGCATGGATGAATCCGTAGACCTGTGTGTGTGGCTGTCCTCTCAAAATTCTAGTTTGCATGTGAGCGGGTATGCACCTCTCTAAGTTGGTGGGACTGTGGATCTCACAGGTCCAGTTGTAATGTGTGTATTGTTGACGGAAAAAAAGCCAAACTCTGTAAAATAATTTTAAAGAGATTTATTCTGAGCCAAATTTGAGGACCATGACCCGGAGCCACTGCCCAGAGGCCTTGGGCAAGTGGACTCGCCGTGGCTGGGTTACAGTTCAGTTTTATACATTTTCAGAGAGACAGCGGTTACAGGCAAAGTCACAAATCAATACATGAGAGGCACACATTGGTTTGGCCCAAAAAGGTGGGACATCTCGAAGCGGGGGCTTACAGGTTATAGGTGGGTTTAAAGATTCTTTGGCTGGCAATTGGCTGAGAGAGTTAGACTTTATCTAGACCAGAAAGGATATGCTTATTTTAAGATAAGGGTATGAGCACTCTGGGAGGTCCAGACAGGAGGACATTTTAAATTTACAATAGGAGCCTGCTAGGATGCTTGAGTTAAGATATTTTAAATTTATGATAGGCATCTGCTAGGATGCTTGAGTTAAGACAGGGGCTTCTTATCTTTTAGGTGATGTTAATGCCATACCAGAATCAGGTCAGGAAGTAAACCACTGCTTCGTTTGGTTAACAAAAGCCACTTAGTGGGAATTTACCGTTTGTCAGCCTAACCCTGCTGGCCTCCTTACCATTTGCCAGCCTAACCCAGCTGGCCTCCTTAGGAAGGAGTTTTTAGCAAAAAATTAGAGTTCAGTCCTCAGTATGTAACCTTACCAGATTAATCTGGAAACTTTTTATAACAAAATTGTGAATTATTTTTCATTTGCTGTGGACACCAAGGTTGAATGTTATGGAACCTGAGCATGCCCAGATGAATCAAGAGTGCAATCACAGGTGGAGCCTAAGTGCTCAGACTGAAGAACAGGAACTGAATTAAGAAGAAGACACCACATGGTAAGATCTAGGAGTCAATTACATTGAGCCCTGGAGTCACCTCAATGGCAGGATCCAGTCATTTGAGGCCTCATTGCTCTATAACTATAAAATCTGCCCCAACCCCCAGCGTGGGGAGACAGATTTGAGCCCAACTCCTGTCTCTTTATTCAGCTGCCTGGCAATAAACCTTTCTCACTGCAAAAACCTGGTGCTTTGGTGTATGGCTTTGTATTGTGCTCAGGTAAACAGACCTAGTTTGGTACAGTGGCATGTGTGCCTATATGTGCTCCTATGTATGTCATTGGGTGTGTGTGTTGACTCATAGTGTTCATCAGTGTGCATCTTTGTGTACATACCCCTGTGTACATATGTATGTCACTGTGGCACTCACAGAACTGGTGTGTCTGTATATAAACCAGCATAATCCCAGGGATTCTATATTGAGTGCTCTGTCCACCTATGTCTCTCTGCCTAGGTAATAAGGCTGTAGTGACAGGGATGTGTCTAGCCTGAAAAGATAGAGTGGATGAGAAGATGTTTTTATTGATTTCTGTTGATTGTAGAATTCCAGGGCTGGGAAAGGCACTTAAATCAAGATTATTTAGCCCAAGATTCTCACTTAGATAAAAAGAGGTCCCTTTTTCCTTTTCTTTTTTCATTTCTTTTCTAGATAGGGTCTTGCTGTGTTGCCCAGGCTAGAGTGTAGTAGCAATTCCCAGACATGATCCCACTACTGATCAGCAGAGGAGTTTTGACCTGCTTCATTTTTGACTTGGGCTGGTTCATTCCTGCCTAGGCCACCTGGTGGTTTGTTGCTCTGGGAGGTCACCATAATGATGCTGAACTTAGAGCAGACATGCAATCGGCATAGTGCACTACTGCTCAGAACTCCTGAGCTCACATGATCCTCCCGCCTCAGCCTCCCTAGTAGCTGAGACTACAGGCATGCCCACCATGCCTGACTTCCAGGTAAAGTCTTGAGGGCTGACTAGCAGGGCCTCAAAGAAATATGAGTATATATGCCATTTTTAAAAGCAAAAATATTTTAAAGACCAAAACACATGAATTATGTCTTTATGTCATTATGTCATTAAATATTTGGTGTTACAATCTAAAAAATGTTTTTAAAACCTGTTCAGACCCATGCTCTTGCCAATAACAATTCTAAACTTGCACAGAGGAATAAATCTAAAGCAGAAAGCAATAGCCTTAAGGGGCTGATGATATCACAGGTCAGAGTTTGAGGGACTTCCAGAATGGTTCTAAATTGAGAGGGAAAGTCCAGGAACAGAGAAAGCCAAATAGAAGTAAGCCTCAAACTCTGCACAGAAATTACTCTCAGGCCAGGCACGGTGGTTAACGCCTGTAATCCTAGCACTATGGGAGGCTGAGGCAGGCAGATTGCTTGACGTCAGGAGTTCGAAACCAGCCTGAGCAAGAGCGAGACCCCATCTCTACTATAAATAGAAAGAAATTAATTGGTCAACTAATATATATAGAAAAAATTAGGCCGGGCATGGTGGCTCACACCTGTAATCTTAGCACTCTGGGAGGCCGAGGCCGGCAGATTGCTCGAGGTCAGGAGTTCAAAACCAGCCTAAGCAAGAGTGAGACCCCGTCTCTACTATAAATAGAAAGAAATTAATTGGCCAACTGATATATATAGAAAAAATTAGCCGGGCATGATGGCGCATGGTGGCGCATGCCCGGCTACTCGGGAGGCTGAGGCAGAAGGATCGCTTGAGCCCAGGAGTTTGAGGTTGCTGTGAGCTAGGCTGACGCCACGGCACTCACTCTAGCCTGGGCAACAAAGCGAGACTGACTCAAAAAAAAAAAGAAAAAGAAATTCCTCTCAAATCCTTGAATGACTCCTACATGGTACAAGACTCCAAGGAATCCAAGGAAAAGCATTTGTTGGAAGCTGAAACACTGAGTGGAGATTTCAGTAGAATTTGGCATTCAAATTTCACTAAGGAATTTCTTAAATACCTCATACTTTCCATTGGAATCCCAAAGGTTTATGCCTTAAGGGTAAGGATTATACCCTAGGACTGAGGGCAAAACTAAAGTAGACATACCTTTAAAAGCCTAAAGTGAGGCTTCAACAGGATCAATGTGAGCAATTTAACTGCCTGCCTAATGAAACTCAGAGTCCTTAGACGAAGATAACAGAATTCAGAATTTCTTGAAAGCATTGTCCACAAGAGCCAATATAAAATAAAAGTTAGAAAATATGCAAAAAAGCCATAAAGGATGGCCCATAATTAAGACAAAAATCTATATAAGCACAGATTGCTCAGAGAATGGAATTAGCTGACAAAGTGTTTAACACAACTGTTATAAGTCAATGAAAGAATTTACAAGAAAAGATAGGTGAAAAAATGAATGAATGGGAAATCTCAGTAAAAAAATAGACCTAACAAAGAAGCAAACTGAAAAATTAATTAATGAAAACAGAACAGTAGAAATTTTCCAAACTGAAATTGAAAGAAGAAAGAAGTGAGAATAAAAAAAGTAAGAAAGAAAACAAAATCTGAGGTATGTGGGCCAATATCACATGGTTTATTTAAGATGGTTTATTTAACACAGTGGATCCAACTTTTTGTTCCCAGGTACCCTTTACACCCTTAAAATTATTAAGGTCCTCAAGGACTTTTGCTTATGTGAGTTATCTCTAAATACAGATATTTGTTGCATTCAACATGAATACTGAGGAATTTTATAAATATTTACTATTTCCTTAAAACAACAGGAAGCCAAATACATGTTTCATTCGTTTCCAAGGGCTCCTTTAATATGGTAATACAAATTGAGTTGCTTAAACAACAAATTTGTCTCATAGTGCTGGAAGCTAGAAGTCTGAGATGAAGGTGTCAGCATGGCTGGTTCCTTCTGAGAGTTATGAGGAAGAATCTGCTCCATGAGTCCCACGAATTCTGATGACTTGCTGGCAACTCTGCTGTCCCTTGGCTTGTAGAAGCATAACTTCAACCTATGCCTTCATCTTTATGTAGCATTCTTCTATGTATATGTCTGTCTCCAAATTTTCCCTTTGTATAGGGATACCAGTCATACTGGATTAGGGCCCACCTTAATGACCTTATATTAAACTATTACCTCTGCAAAGAACCAATCTCCAAGCAAGGTCAAGTTCTGATACACTTGTTGGTAGGGCTTCAACATATGAATATTTGGGGGACACACAACCCCTAACAAATGTTAGAATAAATATCATTATTAAATTTAAAAAGCCCCTGTATTTTCCACAAAAAAATGTAATAAGAAGGACTATTTTAAAAGTTTTGCAAATCTCTTTAACAACAGACCTTTGAACTTTCATATCTGCTTCACCATTCACTCAGTTGTAGTATCACATATCATGAAGATTCTGGAAAACTCAATTGGGCACTCATGAGAGTAATCTTATGAAAAAGATTGGCTTTGAATCTTATGAAAAACAATTGGCATTGTTTCCAATGGCTAACTTCTCATCAGAAACAATAGCAACCAATAGACAGTGGGAAAAAAGTCTTCAAAGTGCTGAAAGAAAACAGTCAACTAAGAATTTTTTGTCTAGCAAAAATCATAAATTAAAAACGAAAAGTAGGCTGGGCATGAGGGATCACACCTGTACTCTTAGCTACTTGGGAGGCTGAGGTGAGAGGATCATTGATGCCAGAAGTTCAAGACCAGCCTGGGAGATGTAGCAAGACTCTGTCTCAAAAAAGAAACAACAAGAAAACACCCTATAAGAGCATGAGAAGAGAGATAATAGCCAAAAATGAAAGAGTATATGTATATACACACACACACACACACACACACACACACACACACACACACACACATATGTATCAGCAAATCAAAAGCTGAGAAAATTCATTATAAGCACTATAGGAAATGCCAAAGAAATGTCTTTAGGCTGAAGGAAAATGATCTGAGATAAAAATCCAGTTCTTAGGAGTGAAATGGAGATTTATAAAAGTATATTTGTGAGCACATGTAAAATATTTTTGTTAACTTCTTTTAAAATGTATGAACTGCTGTAATCCTAGCACTCTGGGAGGCCGAGGCGGGCAGACTGCTCGAGGTCAGGAGTTCGAAACCAGCCTGAGCAAGAGCGAGTCCCCGTCTCTACTATAAATAGAAATTAATTGGCCAACTAATATATATAGAAAAAATTAGCCGGGCATGGTGGCGCATGCCTGTAGTCCCAGCTACTCAGGAGGTTGAGGCAGAAGGATTGCTTGAGCCCAGGAGTTTGAGGTTGCTGTGAGCTAGGCTGACGCCACGGCACTCTAGCATGGGCAAAAGAGTGAGACTCTGTCTCAAAAAAAAATAAAATGTATGAACTGTTTAAGGCAAAAGTATAATAAAGTAGGGCATATAACATGTGGAATTATAATAAATGACCACAGTAGTATGGGGGGGGAGAAAATAGAATTATACTATAATATAACTTCATTTTCTGTAAAGTAGGATAATGTTAATTTAAGATACACTCTGATATGCCGGGCGTGGTGGCTCACGCCTGTAATCCTAGCTCTCTGGGAGGCCGAGGCGGGCGGATTGCTCGAGGTCAGGAGTTCGAAACCAGCCTGAGCGAGACCCCGTCTCTACCAAAAATAGAATTAAATTAATTGACCAACTAAAAATATATATACAAAAAATTAGCCGGGCATGGTGGCGCATGCCTGTAGTCCCAGCTACTCAGGAGGTTGAGGCAGAAGGATTGCTTGAGCCAGGAGATTGAGGTTGCTGTGAGCTAGGCTACGCCATGGCACTCACTCTAGCCTGGGCAACAAAGCGAGACTCTGTCTCAAAAAAAAAAAAAAAAAAAGATACACTCTGATAAAATACATATAATGCAACTGCTAAAAATGTACAAGAGGTATAAAAAAAGGCAAAAAATATGAAATGGAATACAAAAAATTACTTGATCTATCCAAAAGAAGATCTAAAATGTGAAGCAAAAGGAACAAAGAAGGTATGGCACAAAGAGATAAAAAATAGAGAATAGATTTGAAGCCAATTGTTTCAATTATACATTAGTGTCAACAGACTAAACATACTATCCAAAAGGCAGGTATTATCAGACTAGATTAAAAGAGAAAAAGAAGATCCAGCTATATGCTCTTTACAAAAGATATCTTCAAAGTATAAAGTCACAGATAGATGGCTGCAGAACAGTTAAGAAAAGATATCTTGTGAAAAACACTCATCACAAGAAAGCTGGAGTGGCTGTTTATATTAGACAAAGTAGACCTAAAAACAAGGAGTATTACCAGGTATTAAGAAGAATATTTAATAACGATAAAAAAGTCAATTCATCTATCTAAAGGACATAAAAATCATAAATGTATGCACCTTATAATACAGATTCAGAATACATTAAGCAAAACGTGACATAAATAAAAGACAAAGCTGCAGACATATTTGGAAGAGATTTGAACAATTCTCTCTCAGTAATTGAAAGAATCAGCAGATGAATAAAGTAAGAATGAAGAATTAAAGAGTACTATTAACTTGACCTAATTAGCATGTATAGAGTACTATACTCAAGAACTACAGAATAGGCCTGGTGTGGTGGCTCACGTCAGTAATCCTAGCTCTCTGGGAGGCCCAGGCGGGCGGATTCCTCAAGGTCAGGAGTTCAAAATCAGCCTGAGCAAGAGCAAGACCCCCGTTCTCTATATAATGGAGAAATTATTGGCCACTAATATATATAGAAAAGGAGCCGGGCATGGTGCCGGCATGCCTGTGTCCCAGCTACTCGGAGGCTGAGGGCAGCAGGATTCCCTTGAGCCCAGGAGTTTGAGGTTGCTGTGAGCGGGCTGACACCACTGCCTCATCTAGCCTCTAGCCTGGCAACAGAGTGTGAGCCCTGTTCAAAAAAAAAAAAAAAAAAAAAAAAGAAATACGGAATACACATCCTTTTCAAGTGAATATGGAAACATATCTCAGGATAGTCTAGATGATGTCATGTTAAATAAACTCAAACGGATTTATCCCATCCAAAATATTCTCTCAGACCACAATGAAATAAAATTAGAAATCAAAACCAAAAAATAACAAAAATATCCCCAAATATGTAGAAGCTAAATAACACACTTATAAATAACCACGAGTCAAACAAGGAATCAAAAGAGAAATTAGAAAATACTCTTATCTGAATGACAATAAAAATACATTTCAAAATGAATGAGATGTAGCTAAAACAGTGCAAAGAGAAAACTTTGTAACTTTAAATTAATACATATTAGGAAAAAAGTTAAAAACATAATTTAATCTACTAAGTAAAAATAACAAAAAATTGAACCCAAAGAAAAAATAAACAAAAATAAAGAGAAAAACTCAAAAAAGTAGAGGAAAATAATAGATTTAAGAGCAGAAATAAGTGAAATGAGAAATAGAAGAATAATGAAAATCAACAAAATCAAAAGTTGAGTCTTTAAAAGCATGAAATAAAATAGGTAAATCCCTTGAAAACTCATCAAGAGAGAAAATACATACTACCAATATAAAGAACAAAAGAGGAACTATCTATAGATATATTAAAAGGATAACAAGGGGCCAGGCGCGGTGGCTCACGCCTGTAATCCTAGCACTCTGGGAGGCCGAGGCGGGTGGATTGCCGAGGCTCAGGAAAGTTTCCGAGACGCCTGAGCAAGATCGAGACCCCGTTCTACTATAAATAGAAAGAAATTAATTGGCCAACTAAAAAAATATATATATAAAATTGCCGGCGGTGTGGCACATGCCTGTAGTCCCACCTACTTTGGGAGCTGAGGCAGGAGGATTGCTTGAGCCCAGGAGTTTGAGGTTGCTGTGAGCGAAGCTGATGCCACGGCACTCACTGTAGCCTGGGCAACAAAGCAAGACTCTGTCTCAAAAAAAAAAAATAAATAAAAGGATAACAAGGAAGTAATATTAACAAATTTAATAATAAATTGCCAACAATTTGACAACTTGGATAAAATAGACAATTTCTTGAAAAATGTAGCTTACCAATACAGACACAAGAAGAAAAAGAAAAGAAAATTGAGATAATCTTATGTTTAAAATAAACTAAAACTGGAACTTAAAACTTCTCAGAAAGAAAATTCCAGAACAAGATGATGAATTCCTCCACAAACTTAATGAAAATATAATACCACTTTTATCACAGACGATGCTATAAAAAAAAGGGACGGGAACATTCACTGACTAATTTTCTGAGGCTTGACTAACCCTGATACCAAAACTTGATAGGAAGTTACAAATAAAGAAAATTACAGAACATAGATGGAAAAGTCTTCAATAAAGCATTAGCAAATAAAATCCAATAATACTGAAAAGAGGATGATGCATCATGACCAAGTGGAGTTTATCCAAGGAATGCAAAATTGATATAATATTGGAGGCCAGGCGCAGTAGCTCACACCTGTAATCTTGGCACTCTGGGAGGCCGAGGCAGGTGGATCATTTGAGCTCAGGAGTTCAAGACCATCCTGAGCAAGAGCAAGACTCTGTCCCAACCAAAAATAGAAAGAAATTAGCTAGACAACTAAAAATATACATAGAAAAAATTAGCTGGGCATGGTGGTGCATGCCTGTAGTCCCAAGCTACTTGGGAGGCTGAGGCAAGAGGATTGCTTGAGCCCATGAGTTTGAGGTTGCTGTGAGCTAGGCTGACACCATGGCACTCTAGCTGGGCAACACAGTGAGACTCTGTCTCAAAAAAAAAAAAATTGGTATAATATTTGATAAAGAATTGATGTAGGCCGGGTGCAGCAGCTCACGCCTGTAATCCTAGCACTCTGGGAGGCCAAGATGGGCGGATTGCTCGAGGTCAGGAGTTCGAAATCAGGCTGAGCAAGAGTGAGACCTCGTCTCTACTATAAATAGAAAGAAATTAATTGGCCAACTAATATATAGAGAAAAAATTAGCCAGGCATGGTGGTGTATGCCTGTAGTCCCAGCTACTCGGGAGGCTGAGGCACAAGGACTGCTTGAGCCCAGGAGTTTGAGGTTGCTGTGAGCTAGGCACTCACTCTAGCCTGGGCAACAAAGCAAGACTCTGTCTCAAAAAAAAAAATACTGATGTAATTAGCCTAATGAATAGAATAGGTGAGAAAAACATCCTCAGAGATACAGGAAAAGCATTTAATAAAAATAGCACACCTTTTTATGGATAGAAATCAACAAATTCACTTTTAAATTTTCATAGAAAAGCAAAGGACCAGAAGAGTTGGGAAAATCTGAAAGAAGAATAAAAGAGTTACACTAACTGATTAAAAGACTTATTATGAAGCTGCCGTAATGAAGACAGTGTGGTATTGCTATACAATATACAAATAGATCAAAGGAACAAAATACAGTCTATAAAAAGACCAACAAATATATAGTAAATTAATATACCACAAAGAACCAGTGGATTTTTTTTTTTTTTTTTTTTGAGACAGAGTCTCACTTTGTTGTCCAGGCTAGAGTGAGTGCCGTGGCGTCAGCCTAGCTCACAGCAACCTCAAACTCCTGGGCTCGAGCGATCCTTCTGCCTCAGCCTCCCGAGTAGCTGGGACTACAGGCATGCGCCACCATGCCCGGCTAATTTTTTATATACATATCAGTTGGCCAATTAATTTCTTTCTATTTATAGTAGAGACGGGGTCTCGCTCTTGCTCAGGCTGGTTTTGAACTCCTGACCTTGAGCAATCCACCCGCCTGGGCCTCCCAGAGAGCTAGGATTACAGGCGTGAGCCACCACGCCCGGCCTAGTGGATTTTGATGGTAAGAGGAAAGTCAAGTCAACAAATAGTGTTGGAAAAACTAGACAATCATATGAGGAAAATAAAAAACTGTTATTCATAAACACTAGAACCATAAAACTTCTCAATGAAAACATAAAAGACCATCTTCACAGCCTAAAGAATGCAAATTTATTAATCAATACACAAAAGGCACTAACCATAAAAGAAGAAAGCAATAAATTCAAGTTCATCAGAAACAGCATTTACGCTCATTGTTGTATTGAAAAATTAAAATACTAAGTGTTGGGAAAGATCAGAGTTCATTATCTCTCTTTCCTGGATGGTTCTGGCATGACAAGAAAGTCCCCTCTCTGCTCAAAGTTTAGCCATAATGGATACAGAACCTATGCCTGGGTTTGTTCTTGAATAATGAGAATTTGAGGGACTGTGTGCTTGTAAAATCTCATTAATTTTCTACTCGTCAGGTTTTCCCCTACCAAAACCTATGTTATATCTCTGCTGTTTAGTGCTACACATGACCATGACTTCCTTGCACTTTGCTTGACACCTAAATTTCACCTCTCACCACTCAATCTGGTGTCATTGAAGATGGAGGGTAAATGAGGCCAGAAAGTGGGATAGGATGTCTGGGTATATGGAGCAGAGAACACCACTGCTCACAAGGCCAAATCTAGGCTATGCACCCTACATACATGCACCTGGTCCCTCGGGCAGAGCAGCCCCGTGCTCTGCCAAGTCAACCTGGACCTTGTGTTCTGTTAGTCCAGGTGCAATCAGTGAGCCAGAGCTGGAGTTCCAAGGGGCATCAGCCATGCTGACACCCCCAGATGCACTCTGTCTTGGACTGAGCCTCAGAGCAAAACCAGCCTACTTAGCATCCTGTCCTGTGCACAGGGCACGGGAAATGGTGCTTGACGTCTTTGCCCTTCTCAGAGCCAGAAGCCTAACTGGGAATGTCCTCGCTCTTGCCAGATATGCCCCATCCAACAGAAACAGGCCCCACCACGCTTCCTGATCAACTACACTGTCTGCATTCCACCTGGTCCCGACCTAAAGGGTTTCACCTGCCTGCCAGCGCGTGAATGATTCAAACAAGCCAATCACATCCTCCTGGCATTATGGAGAACCACAGAACACCTCACCCTCTTGCTACACAGAGCATGGCTCCCACAGCCCCTACAAGGCTCACTCTGCTCCTGAATGTGATTCACATGTGGTGTTGGATGGTGTGTGGCGTATGCCCATAGGCTGTGAGTATATGCAGGTAATAAACATCTGTCAATCATCTGGCCAGTGTTGCATATCCTATGTCCAGCTATCTTATACTACTTAGGGCAGAGAATCCCTCTGTCACCAACAGGGTGACTAGCAGGTGATCAGAACACTGTGCTTGCTACAAACAGTATTCATTAGAGAAGCTATAAACTTATCTTCAAAGAAATACTTCTGTCTCCCATTTTCTGGGAAAACAAATGACCCATTCTTTAACTTTTTGCAAAGTAATTCAGCAATTATGAAACAGGCAGGTTGTCTGTATGGTACATATCATTTTGACTACTATGTTGCTGTAATTTGCCAATTTTATGTATTTTGATATTATTTTAGGCTTTGCAGGCCTATTCTGGACTAAACTGTGTTCCTCTCAAATTCATATATCTTGAAGTCCTAACCTCCAATGGGACTGTATTTGATAATAGGGCCTTTTTTTTTTTTTTTTTTGAGACAGAGTCTCACTCTGTTGCCCAAGCCAGAGTGCCATGGCATCAGCCTGGCTCACAGCAACCTCAAACTCCTGGGCTCAAATGATCCTTCTGCCTCAGCCTCCCCAGTAGCTGGGACTACAGGCATGCGCCACCATGCCTGGCTAATTTTTTCTATATATTTTTAGTTGGCCAATTAATTTCTTTCTATTTTTTAGTAGAGACAGGGTCTCCTCTTGCTCAGGCTGGTTTCAAACTCCTGACCTTGAGTGATCCTCCTGCCTCGGCCTCCCAGAGTGCTAGGATTACAGGCGTGAGCCACCGTGCCTGCCGATAATAGGGCCTTTAAAGAGGTAATTGAGGTTAAATGAGGCCATAGAGCTGGGGCCCTAATATCTGATAGGACTGGTGTCCTTGTAAGAGGAAGAGACAGCAAGGGTCTGCACAGCCAGAAAGGCCATGTAAGTCCAGGGTGAGAAGATGGCCATATGCAAGCCAAGGAGACAGGCCCCAGGAGAAACCAAACCTGTAGCATCTTGATCTTGAACTTCCAGACTTCAGAAGTGTGAAAAAAATAAGCTGTTGTTTGAGCCATCCAGTCGGTGGTATTTTGTTATTGCAGCACCAGTAAGGTAATTACAAGGCCATAAGATATCTGTCACAACTATCCAATCTGCCTTTGTGGAGGAAAGCAGCCACAAACAATATAGACAGCCCTAACTTACTTTGGTTAGACTTAATGATGGATTTATTGGAACAAAACTCCATGGTAAGTAGCTTAAGGAGCATCGCCTATGGGATTATGGTTTCTACTGAATGCACATCACTTAAGCACCATTAGTAAATGATGCTAAAGTAAAAAGTATTGTCAGTCTCGCCACTGTAAGTTAGGGACTGTCTGTGCTGCGTGGCTAGCATTAAATGCATATTTTTGACTTGTGATGGGTTAGATGAGACTCAACCCCACTGTAAGTGGAGGAGCATCCCTGTAACTGACTGGATGTGACTGTCTTACAATAAAACTTTATTTACAAATAGAAATGTCAGGGAGAAGAAAGGGGAGTCGGACAGAAGCGGAGACGGGAACAGGGCTCCGGGAGGGGCCCGGAGGGGTGAGCCCCGCGGCGGTGCGCGGGGAAGGTCTGGGCGCTGGGGTGCGGCCGCCGGGACCCAGCGCGGGGCGGCCAGGACTAGGCGGCGCTGTCCGACGGGAGGAGGCTGTCTAGGCGGGGGTGGGGGGAGAGGAGCTGTCTAGGCTGGGGTGGGGGGAGAGGAGGCCTGTCTAGGCCGGGGGTGGGGGGAGAAGGAGGCCTGTCTAGGCTTGGGTGGGGGAGAGGAGGCTGTCCTACGGCGGGGGTGGGGGAGGAGGCTGTCTAGGCAGGGAGGGGGAGGAGGCTGTGGGGGAGGAGGCTGTCTAGGCGGGGGTGCCGGGAGGCAGGCTGTCTACAGGGAGGGGAGAGGCTGTGGGGGGAGAGGAGGCTGTTCTAGGCGGGGGTGGGGGAGGAGGCTGTCTAGGCAGGGAGGTGGGGAGGAGCTGTGGGGGGAGGAGGCTGTCTAGGGCGGGGAGGGGGGAGGAGGGTGTCTAGCGGGGAGGGGGGAGGAGGCTGTGGGGGGAGAGGAGGCTGTCTAGGCGGGGGTGGGGGAGGAGGCTTGTCTAGCAGGAGGGGAGGAGGCTGTGGGGAGGAGGCTGGTCTAGGCGGGGAGGGGGAGGAGGGTGTCTAGGCGGAGGGGGGAGGAGGCTTGGGGGGGAGGAGTGTCTGGGGCCGGAGGGCCTGTCGTCGGGGGGACCGGGGGTCTGTCTAAGTGGGGGTGGGGAGGAGGGTGTCTAGGGCGAGGACGGAGGGGGAGGAGCTGTCTAGGCGGGGACGGGAGGAGGCTGTCTAGGTGGGGGATGGGGGAGGGGGGAGAGGCTGTCGGGAGCGGGAGGAGGCCTGTCCTAAACGCGGGGAGGGGGGAAGGAGCTGTCTGGGGGAGGAAGGGCTGTCTTAGTGGGGGAAAGGGGGAGGAGGCTGTCTGGAGGGGAGGCAGGCTGTTTAGGCGGCGGAGGGGGAGGAGGCATGTCTAGACAGGGGTGGGGTGGGCAGAGGCTGTCTAGGGGAGGGCGGGGAAAGGGGGAGGAAGGGCTGTCTAGGGCGGGGAGGGGGAGGAGGCTGTCTGGGGAGGGAAGGAAGGCTGTCTAGGATGGGGAAGGGGGGAAGGAGGGCTGTCCTGGAGCGGAGGAGCGCCTGTTTTAAAGGCGGGGAGAGAGAGGAGGGCTGTCTAGACAGGGGTGGGTGGGCAGGCAGGCTGTCTACAGGCGGGGAGGGGAGCGAGCGCTGTCTTTAGACAGGGGTGGAGTGGGCCAGCAGGCCTGGCTGCGGCGGAAGGGGGGGAGAGCATGGGAGCGGGAGAGAA